AATAGACCAAATACCTCTAAAACTTTTTGTAGGGTATTTTGGTCTAATATTTTCTATATAAAATATTTTTTTATAATTTTTGAAGATTCACCTTTTTTTATGAATATCCGCTCCAAATTTAGGTCATTCCGATTTGTAAAAAAAAAAAATGAAAAATGAAACACTACCGGACAATCGTGACCGCACGATGAACTTTGGACGGTTCAAGTTAGAAGGGGTTGTGATGGGTGTATTTATCAAAGAAATCATTATTTTTTATTAAAAAAACTATTTAAATAGATAACTTTACTATCAAGCAAGAGCAAATTTGAAATTTTTACAAAAATACAATGACATTTTGGAAGTTAGTGTCCTGAAACTTTATGTGTAGGATGCCCATATCATTTAGTTAAAATTTTTACTTTACCCCTTATGGAGATGACAAAAGTACATTTTGTCTTATAGTAATATTTACAAAATTGCCCCACAAAAGTAATTTTTTTAAAAAAAATAGACTACAAAATTAATATATATATATATATATATATATATATAGTAATGACACTATGATACCTTCTCATATCCATGTGAGTTGGACCCCAAAGGATCACCATTAAATTTTCACTAAAATCTCTAGAAAAGTTGTGACATGGGTAGAGAGTGTGATTTGGAATTTTCTTTTTCCGAAGTTGGTCTATAAGTTGAAGAGGTTACATCCCCAAAATTTAGAATCTTTAAATTCTCCTAGTCTGGATTTTATCCTAGGGAGTAAATGGATAATATGCTCCGACGAGAGTATAAAATCTTTTGGCATTTTTAACTTCTTCCTATCTCATAATCTCTATACAAAAAGTAAAAATGAATATGGAATAGGTTTTTAGAGGAAATATTTAATATACATTAAGCGGTAAAAAATGGATGTTTCAAAGATTTGCTGTTCTACTTGGAACTGCCCGAGTTGAATTGGGAAAGGCGGCAGCCCGGGCTACTGTTGCCTCTCGAGCTGCTGCCTGCCTGTTGATCCCCAACTCAGAATGCACTTAAATAGACCCGAAAATTACACTGAATTTTCTATTTTATAAAACTATTGTCTTTAGAGAATGATTTAAGGTTCCCAAACTTTATTCAAACATTTTAAACTTTATAAGGTAGGCCGGATCCAGATCTAGATGTAAAAAAACTAAAATTTATTATAGATAAACAATGTTGCATATGTATATATTTAGTATAGGTCGGGTAGACCTTGACCCAAACCCGGCAAGGTCCAAGATGGACCCAACCCAAACCTGACCTAGGCCGATTCAACCCACCAAATCCAATTTGGGTTTAGAACCAAACACATGTCGATTCAACCCATCATATTGGCAAATCGACCTGACCCAATTGCCACCCTAAGCTTAGGATTAGGGGTGCAAAGGTGTTCTCTCTCTCTGTCTCACCGATCTGCATGAACTATGTATATTGCTTTGTAAAGTAATAGTGACTCTCTCTCTCTCTATCTGTGTAACATTTGCACGTATGCATTAAATTAATTTGTGTGTGAACAATGAAGTGCGGATTAGTATTTTGAAAATGGGTTCAGTTTGTATAAGGCGCTAACATTAAACAATCAAAATAATTCGCACTTTTAAAATCAATCACAATCAAAATTGTCATTTTTAAAATAAAAATAAAGAAGTCTATAAATTTTATTCCATTTCATGGGTGTCTCAAGATCTCCCTTGGGATTGGGGAACATGATAGACACAACAATCCATGGTAGGTACAATACAAAATGGTAGAAAGAGATATGTACAATAAAATATTAAAACGAGCCGCCCATTAATGACATATTTCAACTTACCCTCTATTTTTGTGCCTTTAATAGGACTAGTCTTTCCGGCAATTGCAATGGCTTCCTTAGATTATCTGCTAACAACTCAATCAATTATTCTTTTGGAATGATAGAAAAGGGAAACAATGACTTTGGGTTCAAATTGTGCTCAACAACTCAAAATTTGTATGAGGCATTAACCATTATGAAAAACGTGCCTCAAAACTATGCTCAAAGATATAGTTCAAGTACCAAAAAGCCTTATTATGGCATGAAAGTATATATTAAACAATCAATACAGTTCGAAAATTTTGGAAAGGACAATCCACATAATGCATTACAATATATATTATTTTCATGATTTGAAATCTTTTTTTTATATCCATATATGTCAAAGTCCTTTGCAAGGTTTCAGTATCATAACAGATTTTTCTGTAGGTTTATGAAGTGCCCTGTTCTTCAATAATATAAGCCTTGGCACCTTATATACACTTTTTCCTTTTCAAACAGGAGTTGGTGGCGTTAATGGGCGCTTCGGGTGTGGTTGCCAGTTTGGGGCGAGTTGCTCAAAATAATGTGAAAGCCATATCATCATTGATTTTTGAAAAATTTATCAAAATATACAGAGCATATCAACTATTTTGACATTGATTTTTGAAAATATCAAAATATACATAGCATATCAACTATTTTGCATTTTACCCATTTTTAATTATTGCAACTCTGATCATTTGCATTTTTGGAAATCAAATATAAAGATATAGGTAAAACGTTGAATAATTCATCTTTTACGTGCATTTTTTAAACGTTTTTCTTCATTTTTAGAAAACATATATATTTTTTAAGTTAGTGAGGAAATTTATTAGTATTTATACTTAGATGAGAATTTTGAAAACTTGCCGTTTTTGGGATCAAAACTCCAAATATGAGAGTTCAGACTTCAAAATTAAAAACCTAATTTTAGGAACTGATGTTTTCTTCAAAATGGAGCATCAATTCAAAAAATGGAGCTTCAAATTTTGTATATCTAGAGCTAAATTCAAGGTTGTTTTTGATTTTTTAGTTTTTTGTTAGGAGTGAAATGACTCAAGATGAGCTTCGAATGCGTTAAAATGTGGCATATGAACTTTAGGACGAAAAAGAGCAACAAAAATAGTCGATCACATGAATATCAGACGAATTCAGAAAAAAAAAAAAAAAGGTAAAAAATAGGAATTGTTTGATAAAGACCGTAGTTGATCACACGAATATCAGAATAATTTAGAAAAAAAAGTCAAAAATAAGAAATTGTTTGGCAAAGGTCTTTGTATACTTTTACTTTTACAAAAAATTACTTGATCCACTGTAGTGAATCGATTGATGTTTTCTAAACAAGGGCGAGTCACTGTGTTCAAAGTCATATCCGGTGACCTTTCAGTTTCGAGTCAGCTTGGGTGATTCCGATTGATATTCTCTCTCTGGGGTGAATTAGTTGTGTAGGTGCTCTCTGTCTTAATTAGTTGATCTTCAATTCAAGCACAAGTTTAAAAAAAATCTATCATTTTTTAAAATACGATAAATTTTTTGAGTTTTTAAAGATCTTAAAAAATCACAACTTTTTGACGGAACATATAAATGCGAATTTACCTAATTTCAAAAACATTTAAGTCTTCTTTTTTTAAACTTTTTTGAATTTTCTGTTTTCTTGGTTGATTTGAAATCTTTGAATTTTTGCTTTGATAAGCATATAAGAAGTGAGATTGAATCAAGATTATTATTATTATTATTTTTTGTGTGCGTCAATCAGCGGGAAAGACGAGCACACATATGTTTTATTAGTAATTAACAAAGATATTACAGGTACAATCATCGATTAAATCATATTCTTGATTTAACAAAGGGAAAAGTTTTTATAGGGATGCAACCTTATAATGTAGAACTACGGATGCACCTCAAAAACCCATTAGAAAAGGTAGTTTTAATGTTGAAAAACCCTTTGATTGATCATCTCGACATCGACATGTACAACTATGAAAAATAAAAAGATTTCAAGTCTCAGAAATACTGCATTTTACAACATATTATCTACACAGTTCATTTTCAATATTTTCATATATTTATAGGTTCTACTTGATTTTAACCATTTTTTAAATTTAAAATTTTATAATTAGATATGAAAATAGATTTTGAAATAATCCTAATAACATTTTACATCAAAATTATATACTTTGAAGGTGCACCTTACCTCTACACCTAAGGATGCATCCGTATGCCAACTGCATCCTTTAACAAAACATTCCATAAAAAATTTCAATAAAGCATTCAAGAAAAATTGTATTCCCTTAGAAAAGCGTATGACAAAAAAAAATTACCAACATGATTTTTGTTTTGTGGGTATTTCTGTGGGGAAGACAGGCTCCTACCTATAAAATTTTACTGGAAGACCAACATAATCGAATAAAAAAATTCTCCTAAACAAATGTATTCTCCCAAATAATTGGAAAGCTAAAGAGTAACCTAACAGAAAGTCACATTTTTTTAAAAAATGAAAGCATGAAAGAAAAGATCCTGAGCTTAATTGGTTAGCACTTGACGAATTGTAAGGGTATAAAAAAGAGAAAAATAAAGTGAGTAATTTTATTACAAGATGGGATCGAATATTTAAGTTTTGCTTATAGTGGTACTAGTAATCACTAGCAATCCCTTTGTTCTACTTAACAAAAATTTGGACAAAAAATTTGCGACCAAGGCCTCAATGATGCGAGAGTCATGATATAAAAATATCATTTAATGACTTTATTGTATCCCCTACAATAACGGTAAATTTGCGACTTTTTAAAGCTACATATTTAATTTTTTTCATGGTATTTTTTTGGTCAAATTTGAAATATTCAACTTTTTGCTTAATTTGTAATTCACATTTTGGCTTTTGCTTTTGCTGCAATTTCTTGAACTAAGATCAATTTCTTACTAATTTTTGTGGATATATTGTTATTCTAAAACTTACTGGTATATACTAGTGTATAAGAACTTTTGTTGATAGATTGTTATTCTAAACCTTACTGGTATAAACCAAATCTCATCGGTGATGCACATAGGCCACCTCGCTCTCTCTCCCTCATTTTTTTTTTAGGGAAAATTATAGATGGCTCCCGAGATTATACTTTCTAGCCATGCTCACCCCATAAACTTTTCAAATCACACCAATAATTTCAATATTATTTTTTTTACATCTACTACACAAGTAAGAGAGTAGTCTTTTTAAGGTAAAAAGGCCCTCCGTATATTCAATAAAATATACTACCTAAAAATTTTTAGAGAGAGAAACCATATAAAATTTCAAGTTTTAGATAGAGAAATTGTTTCAAAATCTTTAGAGAGAGAATCTTAAATTTTTTAGACAAAAAGTCTATCAAATTTCAAGTTTTAGAAAAATGAACTTTCTCAAAAACTTTTAAAGAAAGAATCTATATCATGTTTAAAAACTTGAGAGAGAGAGAAACTATATCAAAATTTTTAAAGAGAGAAACTACATCAGATTTCAAGTTTAGTGAGAAAAATATCTCAAATTTCAAAGTTTACACAAGGGGACTATTTTCGTCTTAAAATATTACAAGTTAGATGTAAAGAAAAAATAGTATTAAAGTTAATGGTGTGATTTAAAAAATATTTACAAGAAGCACGCTGACAAATAAAACACCATTGTGATCATCCATTCTCACGAAATAGCCAGCTCTCTCTCTCTCTCACAGATCTCCAAATAAAGCATTTCCATTCTTTTATTAAATAAAACATCACCCAATTTTTTTTAATACTCTCGACCATGGCATTCTAAGGGACCAATAAAGCAAATTCCTTTTAGTAAAATCTTAATCAAGAACAAAAATAACAGCGCCATCTCATGGATCTGCTCAAGACTGCGAAATACCATTACTCCAAACTCATTGAAGCTAATTTTATTAAGCCTCATATAGATCATTTACTACTACAACTTATTGCAAAGAGGACCAAATACCCTTTTCAAGGTGGTCCCTCACGAGTAGCCTACGAGAACGTAGAACTCTCTTACAATCCACAAACACACAAAAATATGGAGATAGCAGCGTCTTCATCCTCTTCTAAAATTATTGTGGGGGCAACGGTGGTCCTCTCTTTATTTAGTAATATTGTGCCACATCTTAGTTGATCCTGCAAGGACCACAGAAATATATGACAAAATTAGGGAAATAATAAAAGGAAAATTGTTTCACGCAGGCTGGACCGCATGACTACATATGTGGTCCAAAAAATATAAAGCATCTATCTTAAAGATGGATGCAAGTAGGTGCTCCATCTAAAACAATGAAAACTAACTGTTAAAATGTTTTTTTACTAGATTTATTATTTCTAGTTTTTAAAATCTACTCTTTTTTTTTCGTATTCATGATCTCCATGTTAGATATTATATGTCCTTAAAAATCAAGTCAAAAAAATTTATATAAAAAATAGATTTATTAATAGGACCGCATTTCTATATATGTGGGCATGGCCACATAGAAACCGGGTCCTTAATAGAAAGGAAGTCCTAAAAGGAATAATTAACATAGTTCATTATTATCATGATCAGGCCACTCGCGAACCTGGTATAGTAAAAACCGTTCTAATCACTAGTTGAACAAGTTGGACAATTTTAAGATATAAATAAATTATAGAATATATTAAAAACAGAATTTAGATACTTTATTTCAATGGATGAACTAGAAAAAACCGGTTAAGTCAAATCGGCTAGAAAAACTAAGTATTAGTTTTGACCGATTTTTTATCAAATTGAATTTTAATTTTCGACCAAACTAATCAAGGCCTCAATCGATGATATAACCACCGGTTATGATAACTATGGTTAATATCATATACAAAAGGTTATTGTCAAAAAAAAAAAAAAAAAAATTAATATAGAAAGAGTGAAGATTTGCAACGATTACGATTAGTAGGAGTTCAAATTCAAAACTCAAGGCTAAAGATTTGTTGCATGTAGACTTATGACTCACTTATGCATTTGAGAGAGAGAGAGAGAGAGCAAGGAAACAGAGAGGAGGGAGAGAGCAGGGGCAATTAGGAGTGAGAGTGAGCAGTGACGCAGGGAACATAAGAGAGAGAGAAGAGAGAGGGAGAGAAGGAAACATAAGATTTTGTTTTGCTTACGTTTTCCTTCCTAAAACCTTATTCCTAAACCTTATTTTGTTATCCATCCGTCCTAATATTGCTTTCCGAATTTGCCTTATTTTTTTATTTTTAAAATCTCGAATATTACCGATATATTAAATGCCCTCCCTTTTTTAAACCCATAACTATGTTTGACTCGTATCTTTCTTAATACCAATTTTATCCTCATCACAGACCCACTAAGAAAAAGCTCTAAAACAATCAGATCCCTTCAAATTTTCGAACTTCAAGATGTGAGTTAGTATCAATTGGTAATAACACAGTATCCTCACTGCTCAAAGCTTGATGGCATCCAACCGTCTTTTAACTCTTGTTACATTGAACCTGTAACGAGTTTGCCTATATGATTATTCCCAGTATTTGAAAGGTTTTCTAGATATTTTTTTTTAAAATGAACTTTGGCTTTTCTCCTAGATCAATGCAAGAATAATTCTTCAAAAAAGGTACAAAGTACAAAGAAGTCTTTCAAAAATGGACATTTAAAATATAATCTGAGAAAGGTGTTGTTGTAATGGTGGTGGTGGCGATGATGACGATGATAAGCAGCGATGATTTTTCGATAGGGATAATGATGATGATGGTGATAATGATATCGATTGTAGTAATAGTAGTCATGATCATTCTGAGGACCTAGGATTAAAGATATGGAATTTACTTGCTGCAATCGGTGTTGGGAGAGATTGGCACTGAGATAGTCACACCACATGCACCGGGGAGTTTGGTTGCAGCCTCTTCCTTAATGTTGTGGAATCTTTCTGCCTCTTTCTTGATGCAGTCGCATGCTGCCCTCTTATCGGCCACGGTGGCCGCTATTTGGGTCAGGTGCTTCATTCCTGAACAACAGGCGGCAGCCGGCTGATCGGCCGCACCCGTCAAATAAGTGACACACTGTACGAGTGACTCAGTGACCGCCGTGCAGTCGATGGCTCGAGCCTGGTGTCCCAATTGGTAAGCCACAACGAGGACCAAGAGGCATGTGACCAACCCCTTCATCATTTTTCTTCTATATGTAACTTTGTGACAAAATATAGGGTACTAGAGGGACTATGTGATATCCTATTAAGATAAACTTGGTGGCTTTGTTGGAGAGAGTGAGGGAGGTATTTATAGTAATGTATAGGGGATATGAACTAACAAAAATGTATGATAGGGGGGTTTCCCCTTTGGTTGAGAGTGGCTAAATATAGCATTTGGTTACCTGAAAAAGGCATTTGTGATGAGAACTCAATTGTGTCTTGATGCATGGCATTTCCTTAAAATTGGTATGCTTTCAGCTTTGGGGCAGTGGCTGGTGTGAACTGCTTTGTCCTCACTCTTTCCAGCCAAATGTTTATGATATTTCATAAAATAATGGGGTGAAACTCTCTCCCTCTCTCAATGTTTATGATGTTTTCATGAAATATGGTCTCTCTCTCTCTCTCTCTTTCTCTCAATGTTTATGATGTTTCACTAAACTGTGATCTTTCTTTCTCTCTCTCAATGTTTATGATGTTTTCATGAAATATGGTCTCTCTCTAACCAAGTCATAATTGGGGCCACGGGCATTTTATGTTGGCGGTGTAGGATATCCATAATAAGCCCTGATGCCCATAAAAGAATATGGCTTGTATAGCTTATTCGTATAGGAGCACACTATATACTTACTCCCTTACGCAAAAATTTACTTGAGAGGATTTACTCAATCTATAATTCTTATACCCACTTTATAATCACTTGAGTAGGGGTGGCAATGGAGCTGACTAGACCCAAAGACCCGACGGGTATAGGTCCAAATTTTGGACCTGAAAGGGACCCGGACAATATTCGTATATGTAGGTATTTATTCATAAATGTTACCAATACGTTTGTTTCTTAGGAAGTTCCAATTAATACATAAAACAAAAAAGAATATGGGTATATATGTGTATTCATAAATGTTGTGCAATACTCTAAATGTTGCCAGTATATGATGGTTACAAAAAGGGCATAAAAGAAAAAGAAAAAACAGAAGCTCATGGTTACAATGTGGTATAGACCCAATCAAGCCCTGGACCTAACGGGTAGACCCGACCTCGAGCGTATAGTATGCAGTGCCCTACACATACTTCCTCGGGTAAAACACCTACTTGGGAGGACATTTTATACCAAAATTTGGATAAAACCTAAAATCCACGAGATAGTTGTGTTCATAAAGGAAAAAATTGAATTTTCAGTTTAGTAATGCTTAGATGTCATCATTAAAAAATTGGATAGTCTCTATTGAATTTTGAGGTAATATTTTTTTAAACCCATTGAGAATGCGATAGATGAAACCCCTAAGATGATTATTTTGTGAGAAAAAATTGAAAATTTTTCAATTTATTTGAATCACTAGATGAAACCCCTAAATTTTTTTCAAACCCATACAGTATTCTTTGAACTGAAAATTTTGGGAGTTACTTAAGAATCACTAGATGATTATTTTCAAAAGAAAAAAAAAATTGAATTTGAAGTTTTCTGATACTTGGATCTACATTAAAAAAAATTGGATATTCTCTGTTCAATCTTAAGATGTTATTTTGTTTTAAGTGCATAGAGAGTGATTTGGATTTTCTCTTTTGAGATTGGTTTATGTGTTGAAGAGGTTACACCCCCAAAACTTAGAATCTTGAAATTACTTCTAGTTTGGATTTTGCCCGAAGGAGTAAATGGATAATATGCTCCTACAAGAATATAAAATCTTTTGAAATCCAATATTGTTATTTCCTCATATGTCATAATTTCTGTGCAAAAAGTAAAAATGGTCATGAAATAGGTTAATTTCTGTATGAAATAGGTTAATTTCTGTGCAAAAAGTATTATGAAATAGGTTTTGAGAGGAAATATTTAGCATACATTATGCTGTAAAAAATCGGTGTTTCAAAGATTAGCTGCTCTATTTGGAATCCCCTAAGTCCAACTGGGACATGCACCAACCCAATCCGTTGATCCCCAACTCGGAACTCGGTTAATAGACCGGAAAATTACATTAAAGTTTTTATAAAATTATTATCTTTGGAGAACGATTTAAGGTTCGTTCCCAAACTTTATTCAAACATTTTAAGCTTTATAAGGTGGGCTAGGTCCAGATCTAGATGTAAGAAAAATAAAATTAATTAAATATTTTATAATATATAAATAATGTTAAAATACTTTTTAATATAAAATGTTGCAAATGTATATATTTAAGTACACCTTGACCTGAAACTGACAAGGTCTAAGAAGACTCAGGTTCTAGGGCAGTTTGGACATGTATCCAACCCACCAAATCCAATTTGGGTTGACTACCAGAGACGTGTCGATTCGACCTATTGGATTCGCAAATCGACATAACCCAATTGCCACCCCGAGCTTAAGTTTAGAGGTGCAATGATCCTTTCTCTCTCACTCCCCGATCCGGATGAACTATGTATATTGCTTTTTCATCTCTCTCTTTGTGTATGTGTTTGTAGCACATTTGAACAGATGTGCTAAATTAATTAGCGTGTGAATTATGTGATTAGTATTTTTAAAGGAAAAAGTTTATCTAAGGCTGAGCTCCTAAACAATCAAATTAAGCTACACATCAAAAATTTACTTGAAGAGGTTGTTTTGATACCCAAATATTCTCAAATTGATCATCATGACCTCAAGATGCATCTATTAGATTTGGTGATATCCAAAATGACCCACATAAGAAAATCTTATATTGTGTGAAATTGAGTTTGATATTAATAAATTTCTTAAAGGAAATAGAAATCCAAAAAAAACTAAAACTTTTGTATATATCTTTTGGTTTTTAATATATATATATATAACATTTATAGGTAAGTTTTTTATTTAGTGTGGATTTCTAACCTTTTATATATATATATATATATATATATATATATGAAAGAACAAAGAATTTGTATACTTTATTTGGGTCACCATATGAGAAAGGTGGCTTCCTCTAGCGATAGAGGTAGGGGCCTCCCCTTACAGAGAAAGAGCTTATTATGGAGAGAAACATTGTGATGTGCCTTCTTTAGACTCCTGAAGATTGAAAGTCGGGTTTTTTGTAGAGATTTGGTTGTCATGAAGATTTTGGGTGATTTCTCCTTTTAGTTAAAGAGAAAGTCAATTTCTTGTTGCTCGGGTGGTTTCCCTTTTTAGTTAGAGAGAAAGTCATTTTCTCGTTGCTCGCGTATTTCTATCTGTTATTGTCGGTAATAGTTACCAGAAGTAAAGAGAAGAATAATGACATGTGGTATCTGTCGGGGGAGTGGTTTTGCTCGACTGTGTTTTGTTGAGGGTTAGAGAGTTTATATCTCAATATCTATGATGTAACTTTTATTGGTATACTAAATTTCAGTTTGCCGTGCCAATAGATGTAGTCACATCTATGATGAAACACGTAAAATCTAGTATTCTCTTTTTCTGTTATTTCTTTCTTGCTTTGTTTTCTTGGTTGTTGTTTTTTTTTTTTTTGTACTTTATTTGTCAAAAATAACCAGTCGGGTTTAAAGCTTCCGCACACAACAATATCGATATGAGAAAAGCTGGATTTTAAGTCTTGGAATTAGTGCATCTTGTAATGTATTTTTTGAACGGTCAATGTTGAAGATTTTCAAATGTTCATAAATTTGCTCGATCTACACTATTTTAAAAATTTTAAATTGCATAATTAGAGATGAAAATAATTTTTCAAGATCTCAAATATTTTCAATAGTAAAACAACATATTTCGACACTATTTAAAGGTTTGCCTTACTTTGATTGTTTAGGGTCTCAGTCTTATACAAACTATACCTTTTAAAAATGGTTTTGGTTTGTATAAAGCACCAACATTAAATAATCAAAGTAAGGCACACCTTCAAACTGTGCTGAAAAATGCAATGTTTATATATTGCATCAACTTTTATGAAAGACACACCTCTTAACTATACTCAAAGATGCAATTCTTGTACCAGAAAGCCTTACAATGGTATGAAAATATACACTAAACAATCAAAACACTTCGAAAATTTTGGAAAAGAAAGTCCAGATAATGCGTTACAATATACACCATTTTTGTGACTCGAAATAAAATTTTTTATACCATAACAAAGGGTATATGAGGAAATCTATTAGTATAAATACTTAAGATGGAAAATTTGAAAACTTGCAGTTATTGGATCAAAACTCCAAATATGAGAGATCGGACTTCAAAATTAAAAACCCCATTTTAGGAACTCATGTTTTCTTTGCAAATGGGGATTCGATTGAAAAAATGGAGCTTCAGATTTTTTATATCTATAGTTGAATCCACCAGGTCCTTTTAAGGAGTGAAATGACTCAAAATGAGCCTCAAATGCATTAAAATGTGGTATATGAAATTTTAGGGCGAGAAAGAACAACACAGTAGTCAGATCCCACGAATAAGACGCGGTTAGCATGTGCCCAAGCCCGCACATGTAGAAATGTGGGCCCCCTTAGTAATTAATTTTTGAAATGTAATTCAATTGTAATTTTTAGATAATATATAATATTTAACATAGAGATCATGAATATGAAAAAATAAATAAATTTTGAAAGCTAAAAATAAGAATATCTATTAAAAAAATATTTGGACCGTTTGTTTCAATTAGTTTTAGATGGACCACCTATTTGCATCTATCTTTAAGATGGATGTTTTATACTTCAAGACCGCATATTTTACAAATGTGGTCCAGCCTGCATGAAACAATTGTTCTTTAAAAAAAAGAAAAAAAAAGACAAAAATAGTAAATTGAATAATAAAGTTCTTTGCATACTTTTCATTTTACAAAGAATGACCGGATTCACAGTAGTGAACCGATTGATTTTTTTTCTTACCTGGAGCGAGTCACTGCATTCATAGTCATATTTGGTGACCTCTCAGTTTCGAGTCAGCTTGGGTGATTCTATTTGATATTCTCTCTTTCTAGCGTGAATTAGTTATGAGTGGGTGCTCTCTCTCTCTCTCTCTTAATTAGTTGATCATAATTAGCAAGTCTTTCTCTCTCTGTGTAAATATGTC